TTGAGGCCTTGTTGAGTTTAACAAAGGTGCCATTGAAGATCTGGTGAAGACGAAGAAGCTGCAACACCTTTTGAACCTTTGGGCTCACTCCATTGATCCCTCTGATGCTGATGACAAACGCCAATTTAGGTCCTGCAGGTACATAGAAGTCGCCAGTTTTTCTTGCCATCCTGGCCGTGCGAATCTCAGTTCTGTCCATCTGTCTATCTTCCTTATGATAGTGCTTAGCTTTTTCATAGATAAGCTTCCTCCTTGCCTTTCGAAGCATCTTTTGAGCAAACTTCTTTCTCAGGCTCTTGATCTTCAACTCTGCAAAATTCCTTTGCTTTTTCTTAAGGGTTTCTGGCACAGCAGGAACCTTTTTCTTCTCTTGAACGCCCTCCATGGTTCCAGCCGGAAAAGAGGAAGCTCTCTATTCAGGTTTCTGAAGAACAGCTTCTCCTTTTTGGCTGGCGGTTCAGTGCCGAGCGAGGATCCCCGAGAGCCTCATGATGCTAAGATGTTTTAGAACTATACTTCTAGACCTGTCGAGTCCCTCTTTTAGCTGAGAGGAGGAGGGTTTCTGATTTGGGGGCTGGGACTGGGGCTGATGGTCAGCCCTGCCTCAGTTTCCCTGACGGGGCCGGGGGCTCGTGTCTATGTATATATTTTAGTTCTGTAATGTGTGTGAGTGTCCATGTATATACTATAGTTATATAATGTGCACGTGTGTGTGTCTGTATATATGTTATGTAATTTGTGTGTGTGTGTGGTGGGAGTGTAAATTAGTACAACCATTGTAGAGGACAATATGGAAGTTCCTGAGGTCTCCTTGCATAGTCTGAGTGTGTGTGACCCTGATGGATCACTGCATGCAGAGCCTGTTGGGGTCCCTCTCTATCTCATAGAAGAGATAAATTAAGAAACTTGAAAAGAAATATTCAACATTTTGAAGGACTGTACATAAGACTAGATTATTATGTTCTAACACCTGTTGCCTGTTTTCGTTCAGCCCAAGGATTAACACTGATGTTTACACTTATTGACTGATTTACTTTTTGGGTTTTTGCTATAGGGCATGTGGGCTCACTGGGGAGAGATAGAGAAAGAATACAAGATAACTCTCCGGGGGGGATGGCCACTTACATTTTTAAATGATTGAAAGTACCCCCACCCCCGCCCCCTGTGCACGTACTTGCCAGAGACAGGGCAGCTGGGCGAGGAGGTGAGAGCGTGCCCCCTGTGGAGAAGGGTCACACCACGGCCCCTTCTCCATCTCCTGCTCCTTTCAGGATCCTGGGCACACAAGCACTCGGGCCTGGAATGTCTCTCAAGCTGTCAGTCCAAGACTTGAACTGCAGAGCTGGCCATGTGGATGCAGCCTCCTCAACCACCAGGCCACAGGCTGTCCCTCTTTACTTAATCTTGCTCTCTTGCAAATTAATCCAATCTTTCTGCTCCCTTGAGCTAATATTCGGGCAGGGTCACTGGTCACCTTAGGACACACCAGCTGTTAGTAAGAAGTCACACACGTCTCCACTTTCCTAGGCCACAGGCTAGGCTTCGCCGTGACTTACTGTAAAGCAGAAGGCCTGCTGTGGTGCTGGTCTGTCCTGTCTGGCCTGAAGTTAGTGACCGCGGTGCAGAAAAGCAGTGGTGACGCGGTCGGTTCCTGACCTGATGCGGGGTCTCCTGCTGTTCTCAGCCAGGTTGCCTCCACAGAACCTGACAGGAAGTGACATGCTCTGGCCATGCCTGTTCCAGGGAGGTCCATTCAGGCAATATTGACCTCTGCTCTGTCGGCTGGGAGGTGGCAATTATAAGAAGAGAATTACCTGGGCTACTCAGGTGCTCACTCAGCCACTGCAGAGGGCTCCAGCC